AACCTGTGTCCAATTCCCACCTTGTCTCCCAGCCCAGAGCACTGAGGGCCACGGCCAGGCCTTCCTGGGACACCTCCAGGGCTGGGGACTCCACCACCTCCCTGGGCAGCCCCTTCCAAGGCCTGACCACCCTTTCCATGGAGAAATTCCTCCTGATGTCCAACCTGACCCTCCCCTGACACAGCTGGAGGCTGTTCCCTCTCCTCCTGTCCCTTGTTCCCTGGGAGCAGAGCCCGACCTCCCCTGGCTCCCCCCTCCTCTCAGGGAGTTTATAGTCTAGAGATCTTCAAAGACAAATGTGGTGCTTCATTCAGACCACATCAATAATTCCACAGACATTCAGGGAGCTTTGCTTGGACATTAAGACAAAGAAAACAACCCAGAAACATCCAATGTCCTGATGAAGCCAGGAAGGATTGGAAGCTCCCTGTTGGAGCCTCCCCTTGCCCTTGGCATTCCCAGTGTAAATGTGTTTCCTGCTGGAGCCTCACCTTGCCCTTGGCATTCCCAGTGTAAATGTATTCCCCTCTCCTGTCAAAGGAGGCCACCACGTTGAGATCAGAGTCATCATCCACAGGCAGGACCACGTGTTTGGAGTCTGACAGTGTGAGCATCACTGGGGCTGACTTCATGGGGCACACCAGCACCCTGTTCCTGCAAAGCAGAGCAGGAGGAGTTGGTAATTCCTCCTCTGGAAAGGGATTTCCACATTTAAAAGCAAAAAAAAAATCCCAATCTACATCAAGAAATACAGAATATCCCTGTATTTTTATTACAGAATATCCCTGTATTTTAATTACAGATTATCCTCATATTTTTATTACAGAATATCCCTGCATCTTAATTACAGAATATCCCTGTATTTTTATTACAGAATATCCCTGCATCTTAATTACAGAATATCCCTGTATTTTTATTATCTTGTCTTTGTTACTTCAACAGGCAAAATGACATTAAGTTTGTGCCTTACTTTCATTTCCTTTCTTTCTCTGCAAGTTCATCCAAGTTTATGCTGTGACTTCTAAACTCAGCGAGACATTTCTACACATTCCCAAGAATCATTCCCTTGTTTCCTGGCATCCTGATACTTCCATAATGAACACAGTGATACTTCCATAATAAATACAGTTAATACTTCCACGATAAACAGAACTGATATTTCCATAATAACCAGAGCTGTTATTTCCATAATAAACAGAGTTGATACTCCACAACAAACAGAGCCACAAAAAAACCCCAGGCAGTTCCTAATCCCAAACCAACACACCAAAATCATGGATTTGCATAGAATTTAAACAATTCTGGATTCCAGCCCTTGTCCCAGAGCACTTACTGGTCCCGGGGGTGGTACTGGACCTTGAGGATGGGCGAGGGGAAGCGGAACCTCTGGTCACAGTCCCCTGACAGCACATCCCACTGGGACACGATGTTGTCGGTGGAGGCACTGACCAGTTTGTGCCCATCCCGGCTCCAGCTGCAGCAGGGAGAGAGGCAGGGCCAGTTAAAGTCGCTCCTCAGAGCTTAAAACACACCCACAGGTTAAATTCAGCAGCTTCACAGGTAAACCTGGGAGCTGAGAAAATAACCTGGCAGATAAATATAAATGTACTCTTAAATGCTCCCAAAGGGAAATGTCCTGAAGTGCCCCAGGGTGTCCCACAGGGGCTGGGATTGCAGCCCCCAGCACACCCAGGGGGTCAGGGCGCTCCAGAGCAGCTGGTGCTCAGCAAACACAGGCAAAATCTAACAAAAATCATGGAATCACACAATGGTTGGGTGGGAAAGATCATCTTAAAGTCCCACCCACCCCCTGCCATGGGCAGGGACACCTTCCACAGTCCCAGGTTGCCCCAACCTGGCCTTGGGCACTTCCAGGGATGGGGCAGCCACAGCTTCTCTGGGAAATCCATTCCAGCCCCTCACCACCCTCCAGGGAAAAATTCCTTCCCAATATCCCACCTAACCCTGCCCTCTGTCAACACGAAGCCATTCTCCCTTGCCCTGTCCCTCCACCCCTCGTCCAAACCCCTCTCCAGCTCTCCTGGAGCCCCTTTAGGCCCTGGAAAAGCCCAATTTTAACGTTGTTTGCATCCCACACTGCACATGTCAACACAGTCAACCCACTTTGGAACATCACATTTTTCCTCTGCAAGAAATCCCTCCCCTCTCAGGCCATCCTGGAGCCTTCCCTGACCCAGCCTGACCTCCCCATCCCAGCTCTCCTCCCTCCCCAGGAGCAGCAGGCAAGGTCAGAATTCCCGGGAAGGTGGGATTCCCTGACCAGAGGGAGCACAGGGGGTGGATGTGAGAGGGGATTCCCTGATTTCCTGACCAGAGGGAGCACAGGGGGTGGATGTGGGAGGGGATTCCCTGACCAGAGGGAGCACAAGGGGTGGATGTGAGAGGGGATTCCCTGATTCCCTGACCAGAGGGAGCACAAGGGGTGGATGTGAGAGGGGATTCCCTGATTTCCTGACCAGAGGGAGCACAGGGGGTGGACGTGAGAGGGGATTCCCTGATTTCCTGACCACAGGGAGCACACGGAGTGGATGTGGAAGGGGATTCCCTGACCAGAGGGAGCACACGGGGTGGATGTGGGAGGGGATTCCCTGACCAGAGGGAGCACACGGGGTGGATGTGGGAGGGGATTCCCTGACCAGAGGGAGCACACGGGGTGGATGTGGGCGCTGATGATCTTGGCGATGCCCCTGGTGAGGAAGTCCCAGATGACGATCCTGCCGTCGTTGCAGCCCACGGCGAGCAGGGTGCCCCAGCGGTTGAAGGTGCAGGTCAGGGCCATGCTGATGCAGTCCAGGGTCCCGTCCGCCTCCTGCGGGGGGGTAGCAGAGCAGGGCCGGGGGCGGGTCAGGCCGCACCGCCGCCCCCACGGGCCGCTCGCAGCGAGCGCCGGGCCGGGGGCGGCCCCGGGGGCGGGGGGGGGCGCGTTACCTCGGGGTAGTTCTGGCCGAAGGACTCTGGAGAGGAGGGAAAACGCAGCCGGTGAGAGAGGGAGGGAGCGAGGGAGGCGGTTCTGCAGCCCCCGGCATCCCCCGCTCAGCGCCGGCGGCTCCGAACCCGCCCGCGGGTGGAGCCCCTCCCGCCGCCCCCCAGCCCCAGCCCCGGCCCCCCCCCGAGCTCAGGTCGCTCCCGCCGACCCCCAGCCCCGCTCCCGGTGCCGCCGACCCCCGGCTCCAAACCCTCCTGCGGACGGATCAGGGACCGCCCGGTCCCACCCCACGGTCCTGCCCAGCCCCGCTGCTCCCGCACCCCCGGCCCCGCTCCCGGCTCTGTCAGCTCCAGTCCTGACCCGGTCCCGCAGATCCCCAGCCCGTATCCGGCCGCTCCTCGGTCCTATTATCCCCCGGTCCAACCCCGCTGCTCCCGGTCCCGCCGACTCCCATTCCCAGCCCCATTCCCATTCCCACCCCCAGCCTTGCTACCGCCGCTCCCGTCCCCATTCCCGCCCCCGTTCCCATTCCCCGCCCCGTTCCCGTCCCTATTCCCGTTCCCGGCCCGTTCCCGTCCCCACCGAGCAGTTCCAGGTTCATGTCGCCGCCGTCCCGCTCCCTCCGTTCCCGTCGCCGAAGGACCCCTCTGGGGGCCTTCCCCGCGCCGCGCCCCTCGCCTGACGAGGGTCCGCTGCCCTCCCCGGCCCCGCCGCGCTGCCGGTGCCGCCCGGTCCGTCTCCCCCCTCCCGGTCCGGCGGCTCCGCGCGCTCCCGGCCCGGCCCCGCTCGCTCCGGGCGCGGCGGCAGCGCCGGGAATGGCGCCGGGATCAGGCAGCGCCGCGGGCAGCCCCGAGCGCCGCCAGGAGGGGCCGGGCGGGCGCCGCGACCGCGCACGAAGGTTCCGGGGCGGGCGGGAGGAACCGCGGCAGCGCCGGAGCGGCTTCAAAGGGGGACAAGGAATGTATAATAAAATACTATAAAATAAAATATTATTAAAATACTATAAAATAAAATATTATTAAAATATAAAAAAATATATAAAATAAACTAAAATAAAAATATATAAACTAAATTAAACTAAAAATATGTAAAATAAAATAATATAAACTAAACTAAAATATATAAACTAAACTAAAACAAAATCAAATAAAAATATATAAAACAAACTAGACCAAAATAAACTGAAATAAAAAATAAAACCAAAATAAACTAAAATAAAAATATATAAAACAGACTAAACCAAAATAAACTAAAATAAAAATATATAAAAGAAACTAAACCAAAATAAACTGAAATAAAAAATAAAACCAAAATAAACTAAAATAAAAATATATAAAACAGACTAAACCAAAATAAACTAAACTAAAAATATATGAAACAAACTAAACCTAAATAAACTAGAAGTATATAAAACAAATATATATACAATATAACAAATATAAATATAAATATATCAAACAAACTAAACCAAAAATATAATAATAAAAATGTAAAAAGTACAATTTTCAAAATTAACTAACATTAAATTTAAAATTAAAAAATACAATTCTTTTTAAAGAACCGATAAAGTAAAAATGATAAAATAAAAAGTTAAAATAAACCCAAAAAATTACTAAAAAATAAAAAATTATATAAAATAAAAAATAAAGTAAGAAAAAAAATTTTTAAGACCTGTGGGAGTTTAGAGCAGATAAATCATGGAATGCTGGAATGGTTTGGGTGAGAAGGGACCTCACAGCTGATCCAGTCCCACCCCCTGCTATGGGCAGGGACACCTTCCACCAGCCCAGGTTGCTCCAAGCCCTGTCCAACCTGGCCTTGGACACTTCCAGGGATGGGAAGTGCAGACAGGGAAGGAATGTCTGCTTTAGGAAAAATAATAAATAAAATAAAATAAAATAAACCCCAGCTCTTTGTGTCTCTCCTTTAAGGTAAAACATCCCACACCCCAAAAACCCCCAAAACTGGAAAAAAAGAGATCAAGGAAGCTACAACCAACCATAAAAAGGCATCAGGGAAGTGTCAGGAAAAGCTCTACAAGACATTTCTGGAATTGCAAATACAGAGATTTCAGTTTTATTCATACTTTTATTATTTACACAAACACCCTCCAATCCTTGCAAGGACTGAGCTCGACCCTCCCGGGTTTAAATCAGGTTTAAGAGCCCCAGGCCCAGGGTTAATACTGTTAGTGGGGGCCTGGGAGTGCCCTGGGAAACAGGGATTCTCCTTTGGAAAAGTAGTGTAGTGCTTGGCACTGCCAGCTGGAGCAGCTGGATCTGCACAGAACCACCTTGGAATTCCAGCAGAGAGGTTGGATCCATACAAATCCACTCTGGGAATGGAGCACAGACCATGGATCTGCACAGAACCACCCTGGAATTCCAGCACAGACATGGATCTGGCACAGAACCACCTTGGAATTCCAGCAGAGAGGTTGGATCCACATAGAACCACCCTGGAATTCCAGCACAGACCATGGATCTGCACAGAACCACCCTGGAATTCCAGCAGAGAGGTTGGATCCTTACAAAACCACCCTGGAATTCCAGCACAGACCACGGATCTGCAGAGAACCGCCCTGGAATTCCAGCAGAGGTTGGATCCATACAAAACCACTCTGGGAATGGAGCACAGACCATGGATCTGCACGGAACCATCCTGGAATTCCAGCACAGAGGTGGGATCCATATAGAACTACTACGGAATTCCAGCAGAGGTTGGATTTGCACAGAACGCCCCTGGAATTTCAGCACAAACTCTGGATCCAGTAAGAACCACCTTGGGAATGCCAGCAGAGGTTGGATTTGCACAGAACCAGCACAGACTCTGGATCCATTAAGAACCACCTTGGGAATGCCAGCAGAGGTTGGATCCATCCAAAACCACTCTGGGAATGGAGCACAGCCTGTGGATCTGGCACAGAACCTCCCTCCTGGAATTCCAGCACGCAGCTTGTCTCCACACAAAACCAACCTGGGAATGCCAGCACGGCCCACAAAATGCCCACAAGGTGCAGATAAGTAAAAAAAAAAAAAAAAGGGAAAAAAAAGGGGGAAAAAAAGTCTTTTTTTTCTCTATAAAAAGCAAATTAATCCATTTATTGCACAGAGAAGGGAAGGGTTGACCTAAAGCAGCGCTGCAGGCTCCGGATCCCTTCCCTTTTTCCAGGCTGTACCCCGGGCAGGGCAGCAGCTGGAATTTCGCTGCTGTTTGAGCCAAGAAATTCCAGCAGCAAGGTGCAGCAGTTCCACATTCCCAGGCTTTCCTGGGAAAAGGGAGCCACTGCAGGACCAGCAGCCCCAGGGAGGAGTTGCCAACTCTCCGTTTGCTCCCGTAGTGACTGAGGTGCATCCCCTGCTCCAGCTCCCACTCTGCCCCAGAAACGCCCAAGGATGGGGGGTTTTTTTGGGAGCAGCCTCTTGGGAAAGGCACAGGGCCCCCCATCCCTCAGTTTTTTTAGTCTTCCCAGCCAAACTGGAGCCCCAGAGGGAAAGCCCAGCTCCTGGAGAAGGAAGGACTTGTTTTTGTTTTCTTTTGCTCCAACCACACCCAGGGTTTAAAAAAAAAAAAGCTGAAGAAACTTTAGTTTTTAAAAAGGTGCCTGGCAGAGTTGGCACAGTTTAAAACCGTCATTACTTTTACTGCTAATTAAACACCCTCCCTCCCCCCTGTTTTTAATTAAAATGACTTGGCACTTTCCCCATGGGCATGGAATGACTTTGGTGCAGCACTACCAGGTGGAACCTCTGAGCAGTCTCAGACTGGGAAGGAAAGGGTAGGTTTCCTTCAGGCATTCAAAGAACTATCAGGAAGCAAAATGACCAGAAAAAAAGAGCTTTTTTTTGTTTGTTTTTTTGTCTTCTAACAGGAGTAAGAGGTGAAGGGCACATAAAGGATAAATAGCTTATAAAGGTGTGGAGGGGGTTGCAAATCCCCCCCAGTAAAACATGGAAGCTTTGCTCCTGTCAATGTAAACATCTCAAGTGTTGCAGAAACTCCTACAGATGCTTCTAAACACTTCTAGCCTAGAGTTTTTTTGTGGTTTTTTTTTGCTTTCTCCTTCCTCTCCAACCACTCTGGAATTAGTGCCATCGACGAGAGAACCAGGATGGATCCGTGTGGCCCCCGCAGTTCCTGGGAAGAGCTTTTCCTTCACTGAGTAAAGCCTGGCGTGGGCACACAGACAAACACACACACACACAATGCTTTGCTTGGCTGGGTTGGTGGTGTGGGATTGGCAAGAAAAAAAAAACAAGGAAAAAAATAAATCCCTTTTAGTTCAAGGGCGTGGGTTTTTTTCTCTGCCTTGTTCGCACAATTCCACGGGAAAAGCTGCAGTGGGATAACTGGCACCGGTGGGGTGGGCTGGGATTGCTCTTGGCTGCTCCTCAGCAGTGGAACAGCCCCGAGGTCTCACCTCTCTGAGCAATCTCCTGGCTGCTGGTCCCTGTCCCAGCCAGGCTGGGCACGGAGCTCCACCTGGAGAAGCCTCCTGGAGTGGGATTCCCCCGCAATTCCAAAAATCCTGCTGCGCCTCCTCCTCAAGTCGAGTCATCCAAGCCTTTATTTGGGTGCTCAGAGCTGGACTTGCAGAGCCTGTCCATGATCCCCTGCAGCATGGGCTGCACAATCCCCAGGAGAGGGCGCTGGGAGGAGTCCCCATCCCAGCAGGCTTCCATCAGCTGCCAGCATTCCTCATCAAACACCGGGAGACGCTCTGGCCGCACTCCTGGAAAACGGAGGAGGAGGAAAAAAGTCACACCGAGACATCACTGAGGCTTCTCAGATCGTGGACACGTCCAGAGGATGGGCAACATATGGAAGCATGGAATCACAGCCTGGTTTGGGTTGGAAAGGATCTTAAAGGCCTTTCAGGATTTAATAAAGGATTTTTCAACACACAACAGTTGAGTTTCCAAGGATGGAGATCACTGGGGAATCATGGAATCCCACAATAATTTGGGTTGGAAGGGACTGTAAAGCTCATCCCATGCCACCCCCTGCCATGGGCAGGGACACTTTCCACTAGCCCAGGTTGCTCCAACCTGGCCTTGGACACTTCCAGGGATGGGGCAGCCACAGCTTCTCTGGGCAACCTGTGCCAGGGCCTCCCCACCCTCCCAGGGAACAATTCCTTCCCAATATCCCACCTAACCTGCCCTCTGGCAGTTTAAAACCATCCCCCCTTGTCCTGTCACTCTCTGCCCACACAAAAATTCCCTCTCCCTCCTTTTTTAAGCCCTTTTTAGGCTTTAGGGTCTCCCTGGAGCCTTCTCTTCTGCAGGCTGAGCCCCCCCAGCTCTCCCAGCCTGACAACACATTTAGTTCCACTGGAGCCTCCTCTCTGCAACTATTTGGGAGCAAAATGGGAATTCTAAGGAAACAGGTCCCCCCCACCCACCTGCACATTCCAGTGCCTTTTGGGAGCCAGTTCAACGTGGGAACGAGCAGCAAGTGCAGCCTCCTGGCCCAATGTGAGACTCACTCATCTGAGTTAATCTTTTTCACATGAGGAGGGGAGAGTTTACATGGACAGGGGAACTGAGGGACAAAGGATAAAACATCCTGATCCCAGGACACAGCACAAAGGATTGAGCTGCCAACAAAACCCAGCACTCACTGAATCCAACCAGGCACAGGAGTGAGTTTGTGTTTTGGGGAACACCTGTCCCAGTGTTTCTCTCCACACCCAGCAAGGCTGCACATGGAGCATTTGGATGCACAGAAACCTCCAGGAACTGCAAGGGATTAAACATTCCTCAGGGGATCAGGCCTGGCTGGCTCTTGGGGCTGGGTTACATCACAAGGGTTGTGCTGCTCTGTGGTTTCAGGGTGGGCAGGCACAGCTCCTGTGCTGCTGGAGAAGAGCTGCTCAGCCAAAAGCCCCTTTTTTTATCCTGCTCATTTTAGTTCAACTTTCAGTAGAACTTGTCTAAGGTGAACTAGTAAATGTTACTCTTTAGAGTGTCCCAAAGCAATGGAAAAACATCCTGGCCTGGATCAGGAATGGATCAGGAAGAGTGTCCAGCAGGAGCAGGGCAGGGATTGTCCCCCTGTGCTGGTGCTGCTGGAACCTCAAATCCTGTGTCTGCTTCTGGTCACTCAGTTCAGGAAGGACATTGAGGGGCTGGAGCGTGTCCAGGGAAGGGAAGGGAGCTGGGGAAGGGGCTGGAGAACTCCTGAGGGAGCTGAGGGGGCTCAGCCTGGAGAAAAGGAGGCTCAGGGGGGACCTTCTGGCTCTGCAACCCCCTGACAGGAGGGGGGAGCCGGGGAGGGTTGGGCTCTGCTCCCAGGGAACAAGGGACAGGAGGAGAGGGAACGGCCTCAAGCTGTGCCAGGGGAGGGTCAGGTTGGACATCAGGAGGAATTTCCCCCTGGAAAGGGTGGTCAGACACTGGAAGGGGCTGCCCAGGGAGGTTTGGAGTCCCCACCCCTGGAGGTGTCCAAGGAAGGACTGGCCATGGCCCTCAGTGCTCTGGGCTGGGGGACAAGGTGGGGATGAGGCTCAAAGTGGACTCAGTCCTGGAGGAATCTTTTCCAACCTCAGTGATCCTGTGAACTTGTACTTCTACCTCTGAGTTACGAGAAAATAAAAATGCATTTCCTCATCCCCCCAAATTTTATTCCAACAAAGTACCCGAGTCCAACCAAGGCTCTGTTACCTCTCCTAACGTTGTTCCACAGGTGATCTTTGCTTGCACATCTCTCAAAAGCCTCTGGTAACTTCACATGGCCCGAGCAGATGTACCAGAAGAGAATTCCAAAGGCATAAACATCCACGGAGTTGTCGTATTTCCCTGGGACAAAAGCACATCTGGTCAGCAGGACAAACATCACCCTCACCACTGGACACTGAGCAGGCTGAGAGCTCATTTAGTGTTCAACTCCTTCAAATTCAAACCACAGCTTCATGGCCAGAAGGCAAGAGTTGTGTGAAGGAACACGTCAGGTAAAGGATAAAAGTTAAGATTTTCCAGTTTTCAGGTTTTTACACTTAATCTGTACCTGCAGCTCCCAAACTGAGGGTCAGGGACCAGTGCAGGTGCTCAGATGGATTTGAGAGTTAAACACCAACATCAGGCTCAGCTCTGCCTGGCCCAGGATGTCAGAGCCAAACATCAGCCTCTCAGCCCAGGAATTGGGCAATTTAAAAATTAATCACTTAGAGGAGGTTCACCCTCTAAATTAGCCAAAATTGAGCACCCCAGGTGCCCCAGGGCTAAGCCAGTGCTCACATCTAAACTCAAGGTCCAGCCTGTGGCCAGGGGAATTTCCCTGTTAATAAGAATAACATCCTCCAAATTAAACACAAATAGGGCTGACTCAGTTTGATTTCAATCTTAGCCAAGCAGGGGCAGCTCTGACAGACCACAGGGATTCTGGTGAGTGAGATATGAACCTCTAAGTGCTACTGGAAGACTCAGGGAAACCCTCAGAGTGAATTCAAACACTCCACAGGACAAAACAGCTTGGAAATTCCTTACAGGAGATCCTTCCTGAAGGATCTGCCTGTGAAAGCCAAGTACTTCCAGCTTCCTAATAACTAATAATTTCACTTCCCAGCTGCAGAAGTATGAACCACTTCAGCAAAGCTTATCAATCCCCCAGTTCTCTTTCAAGACTGACACTTAAAAAATACACTGGAAGTAGGTCATCTGGGGTTTGTCTTTTTATCACTTTTCCCTCATCATGGCCTTCAAAATTCCAGGTAAGAGCAGGCCAGCAGTGGGCTGAGGGGAGGAACATACCTGTGAAGAGCTCAGGAGCCATGTGGATGGGTGTGCCCACGATGCTGCCAGACATCATGGCCTCTGGTTTGCAGAACCCCAGGTCAGTGATTTTGGCTCGATTCTTCTTGTCAAGCTGCAGAAGAATCCCCAGAGAGGCAGCTGAAAACCACACTGCTCAGTGCCAGGGCTGCCTTTTAGTGCCAGGGCTCTGAACTGTTTACACTGGGAGGGTTGGGCACTTGTTAATGAGCTGCTCTGATTCCCTGGCTGCTCCTGGACACTCACCTTGCTGAGCTCAGTACCAGGACGTGCCTCCACCTGTCTCCTACACCAAGGGTGTGGCTGGCATTTAAGAGGACCAGGAACTGGAAATCCCACTTGCCTACACTCCAGAGAAGCCATTCCACTGCTCCCTTTGCCCCAGGCCTTGGGCCAGAAGAGGAGGGAGGGGAAACCTCCACTGCCAGGCCAGTTGTGGCTGACACCACCACCCCAGCTCAGGGAGGATCTATTCCTTCACTTCAGCTTCTCCCTCCCTCTACAAAGGTCTTGGGAGACCCCAGGATTTGCCAGAGTGCTCCTTACCAAGACATTTTTGAGTTTGATGTCCCTGTGCACCAGTCCCTGGCTGTGCAGGTACCGGATCCCTTCCACCACATCCAGGGCAATCTGCAGCCGTGTCTCCAACTCCAGCCCAGCCTGAGGAACAAACACACACACATTTCATTCCTCCTACTTATTTATGACCAAAACTAAGCAATTCCAGCTTTGTCTTACAGATCTATCTATATATATTTAGATGTGGATTTTTTTAAATTAGACAATCCCAGAATGGTTTAGGTGGAAAGGGAACTTAAAGCTCATCCAGTTCCACCCCCTGCCATGGGTAGGGATACCTTCCACGAGCCCAGGTTGCTCCAAGCCCTGTCCAACCTGGCCTTGGACACTCCCAGGGATGGGGCATGGATGTATAAAATCTCTTTAACACACAGACACAGGTTGTTGGTACCTTTAGCCCCGTGTAGAGGTCCCTGTGCAGCCTCTCCATGATCAGCAGCACAGCAATGCTGGAGCCTCCTCCATAGCCATAATCTATCACAGATCCATGGAGGTGCACGAGCCTCTCATGTGTCTGCAGGGACCTGGAGAAGGTTCAGCACAGAAAACTGGTCATTTTTTATCCCCTCCAGCCCAGGTCAAGCCCCTCCTGCTAAAGGGAACATGCACAGCAATAAGGTCCTGTGCAAGAAAAATTCACAGTTCAGAGCACCACGAGAATATCCAGCTGCCTGAGCCAATTAAACTCAAAAAAGCTCTATTAAAGGTTATAGTTCCAAACAAAATCCTGTATTATTTAAAGCTGTCTGTGCTGAAGCACCTGCCTGCAGCTGTTTACTGAAAACAAGCTGCTTTCTGCACTGCAGAGCCATCATTTTCCTTTGTGGATTCAGACAGGTTGGGAAAAGAGGGATGATTCAACACCAAAAATCAGGGGAGAAGAACTGTTTGCTATAATAGTCTATTAATTCTAATTTACTCCTGCAAAACAGCAGGAGTTTGAAGAGCACAGACACCAGGGAATGAGCTGGAGGCAGGGAGGAGGATGTTTGCCCACCACTCTGTGCCTGTGACACTGGCAAGGTGCCCTGGCGAGGTCAGGAATGGCAGTTTGGCATTCCATGGGGTCAAGTCACTGGCTCCAGAATAAAACTGGAGGAAATCAGGCCCTGCCTATGCCATTCAAACATCTGCAGCAGAGCTGGACGTGGCACTCAGGGCTCTGCTCTGGGTGCCAAGGTGGGGATTGGCACAGGCCGGACTCAACCTCGGAGCCTTTTCCAACCTAAACGACTGTGAAATCAAGGAGAAGGAGAAAAGCCCTCAGGATACACACCTCATATAGTGAAACTCGAGTGCAAGGTCATTCCAGTGCTTCTCATCTGGAGGAACCACGGATTTGAGGGCGCAGGGGAAGTGCCCCCCCCAGCTGTCACACAGGTAAACCACTCCATACTGCCCACGGCCCAGCTCCCGGCCCAGCTTGGGTTTGCCTGCAAGGAACAACAGCCAAACACACTCAGACACTACAAACACACAGAGGCAGACATTAAACCACAGCATCCCTGTTCTCAGTGCTGGTGAGGCCACCCCTGGAGTGCTGTGTCCAGTTCTGGGCCCCTCAGCTCAGGAAGGATATTGAGGTGCTGGAGCAGGTCCAGAGGAGAGCAACGAGGCTGGGGAAGGGACTCAAGCACAAGTCCTATGAAGAGAGGCTGAGGGAGCTGGGAGCTGGAGAAGAGGAGGCTCAGGGGAGACCTCCTCACTCTCTGCAACTCCCTGACAGGAGGGGGGAGCCAGGGGGGGGTTGGTCTCTTTTCCCAGACAACTCTCAGCAAGACAAGAGGGCTCGGGGTCTTCAGCTGTGCCAGGGGAGGTTTAGGTTGGACATTAGAAAGAATTTCTTTCCAGAGAGGGTGATCAGCCATTGGAATGGGCTGCCCAGGGAAGTGGTGGATTCTCCATCCCTGGAGGTTTTTAAGAAGAGACTGGATGTGGCATCAGTGCCATGGGCTGGGAACCACAGTGGGGTTGGATCAAGGGTTGGACTTGATGATCTCGGAGGTCCCTTCCAACCCAGCTGATTCTATGATTTCTCCTGCACATTCCCAGCCTGGCAGCCCAGAGCCTTTCCCGGGACAGCAGCAGCATCCAAGGAACTGGGGCTGTGTCAGCGGGAGGCTCACGGAGCAAAGAGTAAAACAGCCCTCCCAGTCCTTCCCAGTGCCTCAGGAGGAAGGGGAGGGTGGGAACCCAGGGAACAGCAGGAACAGCAGGCAGGTGCTCACCATGCAGTAGCACATCCTGCAGGGATCTGCTCTCCAGGGAGAGCCGGGCGAGCCGGGGCGCGTGATCCTTCCGCACCTTCAGCCACAGGTCCTCTGTCCTCTCCAGCCTGCCAGAGTGGCCATCCTCCAACTGCAGGAGAGACACCACCCACACCCTGTCACCCTGCTGCTGCTCTGGAGCCAGAGTGCAACAAGGTGGAGAGGCCCTGAATGTCTGGTTTAAAAATAAGACCTTGTATCAGAGCTCTTGACTCGGCTCTGCCACCTCTCCCCAGGAAACGGTTGCATTAACTGCACCAGCTGCTCTTGCAGCTGTTCCTGCAACCCAAATTCCTTCCCCTCAGTGGCACAGCCCCAAAGAAACCCTCCTGAACCAGCTGCCCACACTCACCTGCCGCAGGGAAGCTGCAAAAGCCTCGTGGGAGCTGTTGAGCCTGGTCCTGAACTGGCTGCAGATGCTCTTGGCCAGCTTGGAAGCGCTGAGGCTCTCGATGGCATCCTGGGCCACCTTCCTCTTCCAGTCACTGGTGATGGCAGGGGGGCTGACCCATGTGATCCGCTGGATTATCTGGGAAAACGGGACACAACACTCAGGCACTGGCACAGAAGAAGTCCAGGGTCAGTGGGTTTGCTCAGACACCTCGTAATGACACGGTCGCCTGCACACAGAGCTGGGCTAAACAATCACCTTGGAGTAACTGCTAATTATGTACTCAGAGGGTGGGGAGGCCCTGGCACAGGTTGCCCAGAGAAGCTGTGGCTGCCCCTGAATCCCTGGAAGTGTCCAAGGCCAGGCTGGATAAACTTGGAGCAACCTGGGCTGGTGGAAGGTGTCCCTGCCCGTGGAAAGGGGTGGCACTGGGTGATCTTTAATGTCCCTCCCAACCCAAACCATTCCAGGATTCCATGATTCTAACCCAGAGGCACTGATCCCAATATTGATCCCACTAAATAAGAGGTCTGATTTGCCCGAGCAGCTGCTCAGTTCATTCCTACAATCCAACCATCCCTTCCCATGTGACCAGGAACAGCTCCAACAGCCACCAGCTGGAAAACCACACGACTTCTGGGCTGAGGGAACTGGCAGCATAAGCAGGAGCCCAGAAAATCAGGGAGAGAGAGGCTCCCAAAGTGGCAAAATCTACAGTGCAGCTTCTTTTTGCTGGGCACACACTGCCAGGGTATGGAAATCCCAGGGGCTGGAATGCACTTCCTGTAATTCCTGGGTGATTCAACTGCCCTGCCCCACCCTTTATTAGAGGCCACAGAAATCCAGGGGCTGCACAGCCAGGCTGGATCCCTCTGCCAGGCTGGAGGAGGAACTGAAGGTTTGTGACAGTCTGCACTGTACCTCTTTGGGGCAGAGTGGTGTTCCCCTCACCCAGCCAAGGAATCTCGAGAGGGAGAAGGCAATAAAGGTCAGCAGCAGCTCAGAGCAGGGATTTCACCACCATCAATGGTTTAACAGACAGAAATTTAACATAAAAACCAGAGCAAATCTGGTCTGCTCTGGGGGGAGAAGAGTGAATTGACCTAAATCAAGATACACAGCAAAACAAGCAAACAAAAACCCGCAAGAAACCCACAAACCCAAATAAACAACATTGCTCCAAACAGTCACGAGTTTCAAAGGGCCCTTCATTCCTTTGCTCAAGAAAACACTCAGGAGGTCTTTGCTTGACATTAAACATTAAAATCATGGAATCTCAGACTGGTTTGGGTCGGAAGGGACCTTAAAGCCCATCTTGTACCACCCCCAGGGACACCTTCCACTAGCCCAGGTTGCTCCAGGCCCTCTCCAACCTGGCCTTGGACACTTCCAGGGGTGGAAATCCTCAGGAATAACTGCTGAAGGTGCCCATACCTGTTTGATCTGTTCCCACAGCATCCTGGTCACTGTTGAGCCAGAGTGAAAAGTGACCTCGACGTGATAAGCTGCATTTAGGATCTGGAAAGCAGGAAAAGATGTAAGTCTGGGGAACTTTGCAAGCCATAACGTTTGCTGGACCCTCTGAAAATGAGAAAGATTGGTGCTCTGTGGTATAACCCATGAATCACTTGGTTAATTCATTTATTGCACTGAGCTCAGAGGTGTTTCTAGGCTGTAATCTTGTTATTATATACAGATTTAGGAAAATCAGGTGTTAGGCCCTCAAGTGACTGTTCCCCAGTTTTAGCACCTCTCTTAATGACCCCAAACCCCACATATTCCAGAGCTCTGATTTCCCTGGGCATCTCCACCTCCCACCACCCTCCCTGGGTCAGGGGAAAGCCAATGAGCCACTCCAAAGAGCCACTCCAGCCCCTTGTACCTGTTTGAGATAATTGCTTGTGATGTGCACAGAACCATCCTTGGGCTTCTCCAAGCTCCTCGCAGGATGTACCGACACCTCCCAGGACTCCTCCAGGCTCTTGAGGCACCTCTCCAGAGTCCCCACGAAGCTCTCCCTCAGATAGTCCACTGAGCTGATTAACTTGTTGGCAACTGCTTGGTTTAACCGAGAAATAATCAGTTCCTGGATCTGTTTAATGCAACACTTGATGTCCTTGGAGCTGACGGGCTCCCCGTTCTCAGGGATGATGATATCTGCACAAAGGAAGAGCAAGAAACACCCTTGGGGTTCACCAGTGTGGCACCAACGACTCCTGAGAGCTGCTCTGAACACCCAGAGCAGAAGCTTCTGTTCCAAAAACCATTTTTCCCCCCTTCAGAGGTTCCTTCCTTTAGACCCAGATGTTCCAAACTAAAGCCAACAGGAAAAACTTCAGGAGCAACAGAATAACACATGTCCTGACTCCTGCAAAGGGGAACATCTCTGCATGTCCAGGTTTACACAAAGTCCTAAACCCAGTCTGACAGTAATTTGGTATTTTGGGACAGAAAGTACTAAAGAATTAGAGCAGCTGGTTATTGCACTTTCAGGGAAGCTAAAAATCACATTTTCAAGGTGTAAAACATTATATTCTTTGCTTCCTTCCACTCACTGGTGTTGGAATTCCCAGGACACTCAACCCTTAACACCTGACAGACTCTGCCCAAGAGCTACCACAGGTTTCCAGTGGTGCAGAGATGAGAAGTCACAACTATCATCCCAAAACTCAGAGAGAAGAAGCACAGAGCTGTGTTTCTGTCTAGTACAGCCCAGGAAATTCTTCCAGGCACTGCTGGATGTTGAATCACACCCAGAGGGAAGTGATGGAACAGCCACACCAGGTCCATGACATTTTTTTCCTGGTGCCTTGGAAAGGTCCATCACCACTTGCTATTTTCAAGCCAACACTGAGCAACCCCTGCTCTGTAACCACTCCAAAACAATATGTTGCTCCCAGGAGCTGCAGACCTTGTCCCTGGATTTTGGCCAACACCAGCCCAGCCTACTTAAAACAAACCCAGGGCTCAGCAGATGGCATCAACTGCTCAAAATAACACCCCCCTCCCTTCAGGAGAG